TTTTTTTTGCTAGATCAACCTACGTGTAACGTGGAATGGGGTAGCCATTATGAAGTAGAACAACGTCTGGCAATATTACGTCGGTGCGAAAGTTAAATGGCTACAGGGATTTCGGTAATCCTACTATATATAATCGGCTAAGCGGTTGTGTGTGTGTGTCTGTGTGTGTGTGTATGTGTTTGTCTGTCTGACCGGAAATTCATAGCTCGGGCACCAGTGGTCGTCAGGAGTTGGTTTCAAGATATGATATAGGGGGTGGGACGGGAACATATTTGGTGGGGTAAAGAAAGTGATCACAACTGATAAGGGCTGATAAAAGGCGCTAGAACGCAAGTGTCGCGAAATTCATAGCTCGGGCACCAGTGGTCGTCAGGAGTTGGTTTCAAGATATGATATAGGGGGTGGGACGGGAACATATTTGGTGGGGTAAAGAAAGTGATCACAACTGATAAGGGCTGATAAAAGGCGCTAGAACGCAAGTGTCGCGAAATTCATAGCTCGGGCACCAGTGGTCGTCAGGAGTTGGTTTCAAGATATGATATAGGGGGTGGGACGGGAACATATTTGGTGGGGTAAAGAAAGTGATCACAACTGATAAGGGCTGATAAAAGGCGCTAGAACGCAAGTGTCGAAATTCATAGTGTAGCAATGGGACCCTGATTCTTGTGAAGTACGACCGCCTTTTCCACGGGTTACACCGACAAACGCACGAGATACAACAAATTTTATCAAACAACGAAACAATTAAATAGCGAAAACGGCACGCAATAATTACAAACAACAGTATTAAGATCGATATCACAATATTCGGGCCTCGGTGATGGGATCCTCGGGCCTTCGGAATTAGCGATGACGTTGAATAGGGGAATGAATTCGGGACGGCGAGGCGCGGTTTTGGAGTGCCCCGTCTGGGCGACTACGACAAGAAGAAGAAAGAACTGAGAATCTCCTTGCCCCCTTTTTATCTTAACACTTCCCGCCAAAACTACGCCTCTTGGGCGGTCGATCACCAAGTGACCTATCCGTACTGGTTCGACCTCCCTCCTGCCACATGCCGCCCCCCTGGGTAGTCGATGTCCTCATCGACACGAACTCCTGCCTTTTGAGTTCCGGAAGGGGAACCGACGTGGCCAATCTTTTCCTAATAGTCTCATACAACATCTTAGCACACGAAACTGTGCAATCTGAGCCATAAAATGGTACTGCTATCTCTGGTGCACCAACCTCACAAAAAACTTTTCCGTTCTCGATACGCGTTCCCGACGAGCGAAAAAACTGTTTTGGCCCTGCGCGCTTGCCAATGGACTCCTCGAGCATCGTCCAAAGTTCTGCCATTTTTTTCCATATTTGAATGTTTTTCTCCAAAACAGGAGGCCACACAGCGACCACGCGGCCGCCTTCCTCAAAATGACGCTCGCACTCCTTCACTATACTGCATATCTCGTCCTCCTTACAGCATTGGATCAATCGGCCAGACGATAACCCAAATCTTATTAGTCGTCCATTCGTACAGCACTTCACGTAGCTCCTTGAACGATACGACGACTCGAGTAGAAATCCCCTCTTCTGGGGCCATCTTTCTCTAACAAGAGCAGCGCAAGAAGGTGCCGCAAACGCTGTGGGCCCTTCTTGAATTGGTCTCCTGACCTTTTCTTCTTCTTCCAATTCCGTTTTGAGCTTCTTCAAGGCAGCATCGTACGTCTGCTCAAATCCAAATCCATCAATTCTTCTCATGTTTCCTTTATTCCTTCCGTCGTACATACAAACTCTGTCCAATCGAGACATTTTTCATAGGCCAATCTGAGAACTTTTCCCAATGCCTCCTCGTCCAGGCACGTGGCTCCGTCTTTCCAAAATTTTATTTTTGCTGCAGCATCGATATCCGTTCTGATGAAAATACTCGCGGCTCTCCAGGCGTTCCAGAGTGTTCCAAAGGATTTCTTCGAAAAAGCGCCTGGGAACTGCACGTTGTCCAAATCACCAAGTTTGATCTCCTTGAGGCAACCGTCTCTACAAACATATTCCAGATGGCCTCTATCCAGCTTCGAGCGTATCTCCGCTCCTCTGAAACAAGAACATATTATTCTCTTTACTTTGGCACATGCTTTTCTTCCTCTTTTGCCTCTAGCTGTCACTGTATCTACCCGATCATCTGGAATGTACGGAGGCAAAATTCTGAGCATGTCGAACTGTACTCTAAGTGGCTCTGAATTTTCCCCAATTCTACTCACCACTGCGGAATTCTCGCTAGTCTCGAGCACTCGGAAAGGACCTGCCCACTCGCAGGCCAACTTCGGGTGGGAGTTCATCGCTTTCTCTTTGGGCGATAATACATACACTCGATCTCCTATCTTTGGAGGTTTACTCTGTCCCACGTTATTACGATCATCATACTCACGTTTCATCTTTCCACGCATACGGTCATTGTACTCCTTAACTCTCTCGTGCACCTCAGCAATAGACTGTAACAATTGCGCCTTGTAGTCTTCCCTACTCTTTTCCATGGTGTACCACGAAATTCCCCCGTTTGGTATTACCGTCGACGGGAAGATCGGATCTATGCCATGTAGTATAAAATAGGGACTCTCGCCTGTAGCTTGGTGCGGTGTCATATTGTACGCTAGTATACAGAATGGTAGCCTGACGTCCCACTCCGTCGGTACTACCGTGCTCCTCCTTAACATGGCTACAATAGTCCCATTGAAACGTTCCGTTATACCATTTTCTCTAGGGTTATAACCCTTAGTCATGACGTGCTCAATCTTTGTAATCCTGGTGAGTTCCTCCATGATCCTATTCTCAAACTCACCCCCTTTATCAGACAAAATCGCCCTGGGCCAACGGCACCCCTCTGCTATCCATCGCACGAACAAAGTTCTGGCAATTGTTTCCGCTGTTTTATCAGGTACAGGGTATGCCGCTCCAAACTTAGAAAAATGGTCGATGACGGTAACTGCGTACCGATTTCCGCTGGTCGTGATGCCCAGTTCCAGCACATCGACTCCGACAATTTCGTAGGGCTTCGTTGTGACAATCGGTTTGAGGGGAGGTGTGATCCGTGGCCGAACGTTATGCGCAAAGCACCGCTGGCACTCCCGCGTCCATTTATGGATATCCCTCACCATGGTAGGCCAACACACCTCCTTCTTCAGCCTATTCAGCAACTTATGCGCACTAAAGTGTCCTGCGAACGTCCCCGCGTGGGCCTCGTGGAACACTTCATAACGCTCACTTTTCGGTACAACATATACTAGATTTCCGTCAGCTTGGTACATTTTCAACTCGCCATCTTCTATTACAAAGTCCGCGATACTAATCGGATTCTTCTGACCATGCCCAAGACAACTACACCATTACTACGTCCACTCCTTAGTGCCTCGATAATCATGCCGAAATCCTCATCCTGCTCTAATTCTTTCATCCATTTGGTCTTTTCCTTGACCTGGACAGAATTCACCACAGCATCGTTTAGCCCCTGCATGGATTCTACGTTTCTCCACTGCGCAGCACCACGACTGAGTGCGTCTGCGACCACGTTAGTTTTCCCTTTCATGTACCTAATCTCCAGATTGTAGCGCTGGATTTCCAATGACCATCGCAGGACTCTCGCTGACACGTTACTCGGTTGAAGAGGGCTGTCAGCGGCTGGTGATCGGTCAGTACCACCGTTGGAAGTCCATAAATGAACATGTGAAAGCGTCTGACTGCAAACACCACCGCTAAAGCCTCTAGGTCGGTGACATGGTAACGACGTTCGGCTTTACTAAGACTCTTGGAAGCGAAACACACGGGATGAAGTTGTTTATCATCCCCTTCCTGGACAACACAGCTCCCAAGCCTACTGTCGATGCATCTGTACATACTACAAACGGCCTCGAACCCTCTCTAGCCTTTTCAATATTCGGCTGAGTCAGAACTGGAGCGGTCGAAATCATCTCCTTGAGCCTTTCAAACGCGATCTGGTGCTCCTCACTCCATTTCCAAGATGACTTCGGCGATGTGAGGTAGAACAAACACCCCGCTACTTTGGCAAATCCCAAGACAAAACTTCCTATAAAACGAAGCCATCCCTAAAAACGTTCTCAGATCTTTCACAGTTTTGGGCACCGCATAATTTTGGATTGCTTCAACCTTCCCTGGATCTAAGTGGATGCCTTTACTGTCAATCAAGTGCCCCAGAAACCGCACTTCAGTCTTCATCAAGGACACACTTCCGAGCCTTGAGTCGTAAACCTGCCTGCTGCAGTAACGTGCACACCTTCCTCAGCAGCTCTACATGTCTTTCTCGTGTTTCAGTGCACACAATGATATCATCGATGTAGCAGAATACTTCTGCGCCTAAGACGTCATGCAACACCGAATCCATCAGCCTTTGGAACACAGGGGGACTGGTACTCAACCCAAACGGGGTGACTGTAAATTGGAAGAGGCCCTCTGTTGTTGCAAAAGCTGACTTCTCTTTAGCCTCATCCGTCAGTGGGATTTGCCAGTACCCACTGCAAAGGTCCAGTGTCGAGAAGTAAGCTTTGCCCGACAAACTCTGGAGTAATGCGTCAATTCTTGGTAGGGGGTACGAGTCCAACTTTATCCTCTTATTCAACTCTCTGTAGTCCACACATAGTCTTAGACTCCCATCTTTCTTCTCACCAATACAATCGGAAAAGCCCATTCGGAACTACTTTTCTCGATAATTTTTCTGCTCTCTAGATCTGCTAGCAATTCTCTCAGCTTCTTTCGTACACCTAGAGGAACTGGACGAGCTTTCATCTTCACTGGCTTGTGCTCCCCAGTGTCTATGTCCATTTTCACTCGATCTGTCCCGGTTAATTCTCTCTCACATACCGAAAATGCCTCTGGGAATTCGTCCAAAACACTCAAAATCTCCTCGCTCAACTCGTCTACTCCAGTACTCTCCCTGACCTGTTCATGCAGTAACTTTTTCCTCTCGGCCGGGGTAAGCTCATATGGTTCGCTATCCAACATTAGTGGTCGCAAGTCTTCTACTCCTTCTCTCCATTTCTCCGTCCCCAATGACCGATTTCCTCCCCTTCCTTCAAGATCATGGGGTCTTCGCTGTCGTTTATCAGGGGGACTTTCAATTCTTGGTTCCTTGTTCTGAATACACCAGCAGCAATACCATTCTTACATGGCCACAAGACGCCTTCCTCTTCTTCGGTGTATCCTTCGCAACGCGCTGAAACTAGCGCTTTTCCATATGGGGGTATATATATCCGCCTTGCTACGACTACCCTTTCCGAGCCCTTACTCCATCTATTTGCCTCTTTTGGTGTCAGCATTACACGCACGCCTAATTTTTCTAGAGCGTTTGTTCCGAGGAGCAACTCTCCCTCCTTCATATCTGATATGTGGAAGGCCACTTCTCCGCTATCGCCTCCTTCCAACTCTATGTTTACCTTGACAGCACCCAAAAAGGCCATGCTGTTACCGGAAGCATCACATACCGGCACCATGGATTCCCTGGGCACCATCTCTAAACTATCGACATCAAAGCCTGACTTTTTCGCTCGTGCCAGCACACCCACTGGCATTATGCTGATCATGGAACCCGTGTCCAGAATGGCAGGAACACTCATATCCAACAGTTTGGCCTTAACTGACACCGTTCTTCCTACCAATAAGGTTTCCTCCTTTCCAGCCAGCTCACACCTTACCCCTAAACTCCGCGCATCAGTGATTATTGAAGATATACTCCGGTGTTCTTTATCTGCTTCCTTTTTTCCAACTGTCTCAAGGGGTAGCGCGGGCTTCCTCGAAGGCTTATTCGCTATTTTGTTCACTTGCGGCCTCTTCAGCGGACAATCCTTTCCGATGTGTCCTATTTTTTGACAGTTGTAACACCTTCTAGGATCGTTGTATCCATGATTCCCTCTGTGTTCCCCTCTGGAAGCACTGGGCTCGCTGGCTCCACCGTGCTCATTCTGTTTGAGACGGCGTAAACCCACTTCGTTGTTTTCCTCTCTGGGGCCTGCCTTCCCTACAGAGCGTCCTGAATCCTCGAAGCCCCTAGATTCCTGTTCCCGTTTCCTTTCAACCTGCTGATACGCTGCGGACCTTCTCCTCCAACCCTCCTTGCGTGTACTTGCGCTAGGGGCCCACATAGCTCTTGACTGCTCCATTGTCAAAGCGAGCTGCTTCACGAATCGTACGCTTCTGACGGATCCACACCATGCAACGTACTTAATAGTTGGATATGCTCTGGCCATTCCGTTAGATTGTCTAATAGTATTTGCGCGTATTCAGGGATCTGTCTTTATGCTACACGAGGGATTGGCCTGCCTCCCCAAGTGTTCAAGGACACCACAGAAATCCGCAACACTCTGACCTGCCCTACGCTTCAGACACCTTAACTCCGTAAGTGCCCTAAGCCGCCCTGCTGTTGAATCATTTGTCAACATCCTTCTCATTTCTTCCACCACTACTTCAAGACCCTGCTCTCTCACACTCATGGGCAGCGCCAACACTACACTTTTAGCCCTACCTTCCAGATGATCGTCAATCAAAATCTCTAACAATGTTTGATCATCAAATCCCACAACTCCGTACTTTCTTTTAAATCGCCGAATAAATTCGTCAAAGTTCTCGCTTTTATTCCCTCTGAACACACCTGGTCCTACACATGCGTTAGTCTGCACCCACGCCATAAAATTCAAAGCATCCTGACCTGCTGTGGTGTCCGGCCTTTCCAATCTCGCCGAAGGCTGCCTCGAGCGTGGTTCGCAGAGCGCTCCAGTCTGCTGTCGCGATGTCGACGCTTCCACCATCTGGATCTGAATACTTCCTCTATTCAGTGCATAGTCATCTCTACTTGATGTACCGCTCAACTGACCTGATATCTCTTCAACATCCATTTTTTCTTCGCTCTGTTTCCTGTTCAGCTTGACGCGTCGTCCATGTACGCGACGACTGCACCGCTTTCAGCACACCTCGTATGTGCTTCACGTCTGTCTGAAACATTTCGCATATCTCTGCAATGAGCTCTCCATCATGCTCTGTAGTATTCACATACTCTCTCCAATCTTGCGCACTTTCTATTCCCTTGTCATACAAAGTTTGAAAAATTTCATGCCCAAAAAGCTTATGCCCTGTCGCACTTGCTTTGAGCCGCTCCAGCCTCTCACTTGCCCGGTTAACTTGATCCTCCAAAACTTTCCTCATTTGATTCCTATACTTCCCCGCTATACGAGCCTCTGCTAACTCGCTCTCAACTTCACAAGGCAGCTGCCTAATCTCTCTTATCACACTATCCAATTCCTCGCTAACCTTCCTAACCGGAAATACATTTTGTTCTGAGCTCACCCGTGCTGCATTGTTCTCGTCCTGCTCCTCGACGACCGGATTCTCCCTATTTTCTGCATTCGCAGCCATGACACCACTTTTACAAGACTATGGCTCCGCCTGCAACAACTGTATATCCTGAACTGCAAAAACGTTCACTTCTAGAACACTTATCAACGATAACCGACGATATGTGAACACCAAATTGCGTCGAACACAGACAATCGATACGAGCAATGGTACGATCACAATATCAATATTGCACCTGGCCCCTATAGTCGATACTACAGCCAACGATCAATGCGGACGACGCCCTACCACGTCCAATCCAACCAATCGATACCAAAAGGGCGCGAAGCTACCACTACGGACACAACACCCTGTTGCGTCCAATTCGATCAATCGATACGCTTACCACTACCTTAGCAAGCGATCTATACCCGCTCTCTATTGCAACCTGGCCCAAATAATCGATACAAGCCACGGGGGCAATGAATTATGCCCAACTGAATTCACTTCTACTCCCTTACTTATTACGGTCTTCCAACCTGTCGACCGTTTTGCCTGCAACATGCTACCTTGCCTTCTTAACTTAAGCAAGGTTATCCTCAACTAACGGTCTACTCCACTGGTTCGGCCCCCATGTAGCAATGGGACCCTGGTTCTTGTGAAGTACGACCGCTTTCTCAACGGGTTACACCGTCACACGCACGAAATACAACAAAGTTTATCAAACAACGAAACAATTAATTAACGAAAACGGCACGCAATAATTACAAACAACAGTATTAAGATCGATATCACAATATTCGGGCCTCGGTGATGGGATCCTCGGGCCTTCGGAATTAGCGATGACGTTGAATAGGGGAATGAATTCGGGACGGCGAGGCGCGGTTTTGGAGTGCCCCGTCTGGGCGACTACGACAAGAAGAAGAAGAACTCTGAGAATCTCCTTGCCCCCTTTTTATCTTAACACTTCCCGCCAAAACTACGCCTCTTGGGCGGTCGATCACCAAGTGACCTATCCGTACGGGTTCGACCTCCCTCCTGCCACATGCCGCCCCCCGGGGTAGTCGATGTCCTCATCGACACGAACTCCTGCCTTTTGAGTTCCGGAAGGGGAATCGACGTGGCCACTCTTTTCCTAATAGTCTCATACAACATCTTGGCACACGATACTGTGCAATCTGAGCCATAAAATGGTACTGCTATCTCTGGTGCACCAACCTCACAAAAAATTTTTCCGTTCTCGATACGCGTTCCCGACGAGCGAAAAAACTGTTTTGGCCCTGCGCGCTTGCCAATGGACTCCTCGAGCATCGTCCAAAGTTCTGCCATTTTTTTCCATATTTGAATGTTTTTCTCCAAAACAGGAGGCCACACAGCGACCACGCGGCCGCCTTCCTCAAAATGACGCTCGCACTCCTTCACTATACTGCATATCTCGTCCTCCTTACAGCATTGGATCAATCGGCCAGACGATAACCCAAATCTTATTAGTCGTCCATTCGTACAGCACTTCACGTAGCTCCTTGAACGATACGACGACTCGAGTAGAAATCCCCTCTTCTGGGGCCATCTTTCTCTAACAAGAGCAGCGCAAGAAGGTGCCGCAAACGCTGTGGGCCCTTCTTGAATTGGTCTCCTGACCTTTTCTTCTTCTTCCAAGTCCGTTTTGAGTTTTCTTCAAAGCAGCATCATACGTCTGTTCAAATCCAAATCCGTCAATCTTCT